GCCCAGGAGTTGGAGGTTGCTGTGAGCAGTGAAGCCATAGCACTCTACCCAGGGGGACAGCTTGAGGCTCTGTCTCAAAAAAAAAAAAAAAGAAAAAGAAAAGTGTGGCTCTTTCCCTCATGGAGCTCAGTTGATCTTTAGACAAGGAGAGGGGTTGAAGAGAGATAAGTAAACAGGCAATTAGAGGCGGTGCCTGTAGCTCAGTGGGTAGAGTGCCAGCCACATTAACTGAAGTTGGTGGGTTCAAGCATGGCCTAGATCTGCTAAACAGCAATGACAACTGCAACAACAAAAAAACAGCCAGGTGTTGTGGCAGGCACCTGGAGGCCCAGCTACTCGGGAGGCTAAGGCAAAAGAGTCCCTTAAGGCCAAGAGTTAGAGGTTGCTGTGAGCTATGATGCGACAGCACTCTACTGAGGGCAACATAATGAGACTCTGTCTCAAAAAAACAAAAACCAGGTAATTGTAAGAATTGTAAGTGATTTGCAGAAGAGTTTGTGAAAGACGACTTCCTGGAGGAGCATGTGACTGTGCTAAATTTTACAAAATGAGTAAGCATTTGATACAGTGTGTGATGAGGAGGATGGCAGGAAATGAGGCTAGGAAGGTACATAGAGCTCAGATTGTGAGGAGTCTTGTATGCCTTGCAAAGGGTTTAGACTTTATCACAGGGTTTTAGACAGGGGACTGATGTAATCAGAGATCACTGAGATCAGTGAGAAATGTGGATCAGAGGAATATGGAGCTAAAGGAGAGCGTTAACTAGTAACAATCCCGTCCCAGTAGGGGTGTCTGGGACAGGCCCGACCGCGGTTTGTTGTTTGTTTCTGCAGGGAGTTGCAGTTTCACCATTTATGACTTGCTATTAGACTCTTACTCACTCGTCCGTGACACTTTCACATGTCAACACTCTCGGATCAGCAGTTCTCAACACTTTTCTTATGGGCAGTGACAAGTTGCAGTCTCTTTTCCAGGAAAGGCTGGAGTTTCCATTTTTTTCTAAGTATTTTCATAGTGAAGTTAGTAAGGAGTGTATTTGTGTTTGGTGAATATCAAAGTATGTATGACTGAAAATACAGAATATCTGATAATTTGTAAATCCGTTTATGTCAAGCAGTGGCTTTCTTTAATCATGATACACAAATATGGTGAAGAGGGCAGTGTAATTTGTCAGTAGCTGAGATAGAGGAAGAGCTGGTAGTGTCAGTATTTGAGGGAAATGATGACATTTTCACTAGTGCCAGTAGTGAGAAGAACTCATAGAGAGGGAGTGTGGAGCTGTTCCTTCTGAATAAGCAAGTAAAGAAGTAGAAGATGATGATGACCTGGAGGAGAAGAAATGCAAAACATGGAGCCCGGCTACGGAGCAGCAGCCACGGCCCAGGGGAGAGCGGCTACCAAACAGCAGCCACGGCCCAGGGGAGAGCGGCTACGAAGCAGCAGCCACGGCCCAGGGGAGAGCGGCTACGAAGCAGCAGCCACGGCCCAGGGGAGAGCGGCTACGAAGCAGCAGCCACGGCCCAGGGGAGAGCACCTCAGTGACGGCAGGGAACCACTGCAATGAAGGGTCAGCAGGCGTGACATCTAGACTAGGACCCAAAACCATATTGCATGCTTCCCAACTATTGATAAAGAGACTGTGGATATCATTATCAAGTTAACAAACGAGAAATTACGTTTGGTCAAAGAGTTATGTACGAACATACTCATCCAAAGCTCTGGCAAGTTCATAAGAGAAGAAATGTTAGGGTTAATTAGAATTTTTCTAAATTGTGGTGCATACTGGCAAAATAAAAACAACATCTGAGATCCTTTCAGTGAGGAGGATTTTCCAGTTTACTGTGCTGCGTTTTCAGAACACGGAATGTGACTCCCGCTGAAATGTCTGTGTTTTGATGATGCCGCCACACATGAAGCTCACAGACAGCAGAAGTTTGCTCTAGTTGAGAGCTTTGGACTATGGTTATAAACAAGCTCTCGTTGGATGGTGCCGGTAGCCCAGTGGGCAGGTCACCAGCCACATATACCCAGCCTGGCAGGTTCAAACCCGGCCTGGGCGAGCTAAACAATGACAACTGCAACAACAATAGCAACAAAAAAATAGCCAGGCATTGTGGTGGGGGCCTATAGTCCTAGCTACTTAGGGTGAGGCAAGAGAATTACTTGAGCCCAAGAGTTTAAGGCTGCTGTGAGCTGTGACACTATGGCACTCTACCGAGGGCAACATAATGAGACTCTCTCAAAAAATAAATAATAAACAACTTTACCACAGTCGTCCCGAGTTTATCTCTGTCAGTGAGGAAGTGGTGTCCTTCCATGGCATTGTCCATTCAGACTCCACATGCCAAATAAGCCTGGGGTGTACGGAATTACATTGACTCTTCCATGTGATTCTTCTATAAACTTCTGTTTTGCAGCAGATCTATATGCAGGGAAATCAGGGGACCTTCTAGGAAGTTACAGCAGTGGCTCTGAGATTGTAAAAAGACTGGTTCAGAACTGTCATTTTGATCAGTCTGTAAGAAAAGTTACTGTAGACAGAAAGTTACCTCCATCACCCTGGCTTTCACTTGCTTCAAACGATACAGTCTCCTTTGTTACTGTTTGTGGTGGTAAAAGGGATTTATTTCGAGAACTCAGTCCAGCATCATGAAAAACTCTCCATCTGGTACAGTAAGATTTGCCTTCTCTCCCTGCTTGTGGATAGTTGTATATTTTCCACATAGCATGAAGATATGAAGGTGACGGATAGCAAGCCTGATGTAATCCACCTTTGTGGTAGATTTTTCACACTACTAAAGCAGGTGTTGACATACTTGGTAAGTGTTTGAGAACACATTCCTATCCTGAGGAACTTGGCTTTGGGCCCTGGAAATTTTTTTCAACATCATTGACATTGCCCCATGCAATTCGTATGTAATTTCTCAGGATAAAAATAGCCGCTGGTCACAATTCCATTTAAAGAAACAATCAGGAACAAAATAGTTTTTGAAATATTTGACACGACTGCTCTGTGAAGAAGCCGTGTGAAGCCACAGAAGCTCTGTGAAGATACCATGGCGGTGACTCTTGACAGACCCAAGTGTGACCAGGGACAAGGCCTCAGAACAAGAGAAATGGTCCCTATGGAGCCAAAAGGAAGAGTCATGAGACAGCAAAAAGCTCACCAAGAAAAGGTCCCGGGGCCTTTGTCTCCGTGGGAGAGACTGGAAATACATGAAGGCGTGCAGTGAATGCCGCGAACACGTCCATCCCAGCCACACATCAGAAGAAGAGAGTGGAATGGGAATGTGATTAAAGAGTTGTTAGCTACTTGTACAATGCTTTGTAAAATATATAGGTTTCTCATGAAATTACTACTTATTCTTGGTCTTTATCAGGTACCAAATTAACATGGTACTTGACTGCTATTCCAGGCTTGTATTAAAGAGAGCCTAAATTAAAGCAGAAGTTGGAAGTAAAGGATTAGTGAGATCAAGGATGTCTAAGGTAAAACAGTTTATGAAATGTTCTGTGATTGTATGTCCATTATTAATTTAAGATGCTAGGCATTTTGGACAATAATGATCTTCTTCACATTGTTATGAACTTGTAATATAACCGCTAAACTGTTTGAGAAAGTCTTTAAGTGTTTTGTTACTTTCTGTTCCTTTAAAGTTTACCTGCAGAAATGCTTATTTAACTAAAAATCAGAGCCTGGTTGCCTTCTTTGATCTGTTTCTTTTAGATTGGAAAGCGTTCAGTATCCCTACCAACTCTACATTGCTCCTTCTACCAGCAGTACGGAACGGCCCAGTCCCAACGGTCCAGACAGACCTTTTCAGTGTCCAACCTGTGGGGTGCGATTCACCCGCATTCAGAACCTAAAACAGCACATGCTCATCCACTCAGGTAGTATCATCTTCCCTGTTGTTGCATAAGTGAGCACTCTAAAACATTTTATTTTGGAATCTCAGTTAAAATGAAAAACAGGTGCTTCTGAATTAAAAACAAGACAAAACTCTTAGAAGTCAAATGAGAATAGGCTGGCTTAGGTCTCTTAGTGAAATGGTGCCGTGTCAGAAAGCTATTTGCTTAATGCATTTTGCCATAGACATTGAGTGTTCTGGCTAAAACTTACAGGTAATGTGTGGTTTATAAATAACAAGTTAGTGGACGTGTCAGGTGTGAGCTAGAGAAGCAGAGACACAGCAGTAAGCAGAGGGGTAGAGGATACGTGTGGGTGTTCATACTGTTCCTGTGATGTCCCTGAGTTTGAAATTACTTCCAAATAAAAGTTTTTTGAAATTTTAATATTTTATTATCAATTAATTCTATAATCCTAAATCTCTATATGTCCTGATAAGTCAGCTTTGTCCTGCAGGGGACAGGGTTAATAGAAAAGATTTTAGATGGATGTCTAGAAGGGATTTGAAATTTTTCAGTGATTACATGGGGTGACAGGATTCTTGTGGGTAAAACACTGACCTCTGGGGTCTGAGATCTTTGCTGCTGTTTTTAGCTGTGTTAGTGCCTCATTTTCCCCTTGTAGATAAGGTAGGTCTTACCAGTTACTGTCACTTTGATAAGTCTACAGATTGTGTTTTGAAGAGTTTTTAAATTTTTCTCCGAAACTGTGACAGTGTATTTGAAGAATAACATACTTCATACTTCACATCCTGACTTATTACATTAAAAACTCAAAGTCTGCTCAGTACATATAGCTCAACCGCTAGGGCGCCAGCCACATACACCGGAGCTGGTGGGTTTGAATCCCACCTGGGCCTGCTAAACAATGACAACAACAACAAAAACAGCCAGGCGTTGTGGCAGGCACCTGTAGTCCCAGCTACTTGGGAGGCTGAGGCAAGAGAATCTCTTAAGCCCAAGAATTTGAGGTTGCTTTGAGCTGTGAGGCCACAGCACTCTACCCAGGGTGACTACATCTCAGAAAAAAAAAACATAAAGTCAATCTATGAAATGATAGTTCTGTCATGATAATTACATTCAGAAGTGTTAGAATTTTCTGTTTTCTTCTTATTTCTCTCTTGAGATAGAGAATAGAGAGTAGGTATTGATCACTTACAAATTTTTTCCCTACAAATCTTTTCAAGATAAATGTCTCCCACCTTTAATGAAGCGAAACTGAATGCTGTTTCATGAGGAGGTTATCTCTGTCTACTGTGGCTGAATTGTATTTTGCAGTTAGCAAAATAGAGTATTCAGAGCTCAACTGCAGTGTGCATTACCTTGTTGACCTCTCCCCCACCTTTTTTTTTTTCTATTTTAAGCACTTTAGACATTTCACCTATTCTGTGCCTTTTCTAAGATTTTTAATTAGAATACATTTTTGCTGTGGTAGTTTTGTCTTTTCAGAACTACACAGTTGACTGCAATACTGTAGTTCAGAAATGTGGGTTTTATGACCTTTCAGTTTATGTTGTTTTGCTTTGTTCTATAGGAATTAAACCATTTCAGTGTGACCGCTGTGGGAAAAAGTTCACCAGGGCCTACTCACTAAAGATGCATCGCCTAAAGCATGAAGGTAAACGCTGTTTCCGGTGCCAGATATGTAGTGCCACTTTCACTTCCTTCGGGGAATATAAACACCACATGAGGGTTTCCCGGCACATTATCCGCAAGCCTCGGATTTACGAGTGCAAAACATGTGGCGCCATGTTCACCAACTCTGGAAATTTAATCGTGCACCTGAGGAGTCTGAACCATGAAGCATCAGAGCTAGCAAACTACTTCCAGAGCAGGTGAGGTGCACAGCGAGAACCCACCCAGGAAACTGCTGTCTCAGTCCTCTCTCCCTGCCATAGGGCAGCCTGCTGTGTTTGTATCAGGCTGCCAGCTAGTCAGCCACCTCTTATTACATTCCCCCATCCATACTCTGATCTCCTGAGCTAATAAAATTTCACTCAATCTTCTGTAAAATTATAAAGACTTTATAATTGGCACCAAAAATATTTTTCTATAGAAGTAAACTACTTATCCTCCTGATTTTAGTTTTTAATGATAAAAGGTTAACGTAATTCTTCAATGAATCCTAAATAAATAGTATTGGGAAATTTATCATGTCAGATACTGTATTATCTCAGACTTTGAATGTTAATAAAGTTCTTGACTACTTTTCTCTTTTTTAAAATTCTATGTAAAGGAAAATCCATTTGCCAGTAAGAAAAATTTTAATAGTACTTATAATGGGTATGATTACTGAGATCAAATGGAGACTTTCCTGTTTCCTTGCAGTTGAGAGCGCCATAGTTTGATACTCGAGTTACCATTCTACTTCATGAGTATTCAGGGAGTCAGGTTCTAGTTCTAGTGCTGCCACTAACTGCTGTTATTTGAGCATGTCCCTTTATAGACAAAGCGCAAAACTTAGAGAAAAATAAAATGCTGTATACAGGATGATTGCTAAGCCCCCCCAGATATAAAATTCTGTTGTCTATTTGATAAATACTTCATAAGGATTATACTTAAGAATTTTTAGTTTCATATAAAATGAAATTTTTCTGCTAGGCACAGTGGCTTACATCTGTAATCCCAGAACTCAGAATTGCCTTAGCTCAGGCGTTAAGAGACCAGCCTGAGCAAGAGCAAGACCCTGTCTCTAAACATAGCCAGGGACCATAGCAGGCTCCTGTAGTCCCAGCTACTTCAGAGACTGAGGCAAGAGGATTATTTGAGCCTAGGAGTTTGAGGTTGCTGTGAGCTATGATGCCACAATGCTCAACCTTTTTTAAAGAGATGAGATCTCACTATGTTGCCCACACTGGAGTACAGTGGCTGTTTAGATGGCAAAGTGAGCACACTTAGGGCTTTGAACTCCTGGGCTAAAACAGTTCTCCTGCCTCAGCCTCCTAAGTAGGATTACAGGTACATGATGTTAAAAACTTATTTTTAAGTAAATTTTAAATTATTCCTGCATAAATTTTGTTTCCCCTTCCAACCACACATTCATTTTGCTTAATGCAGTCATTTCTAATTCCAAATGTGTAGTCATACCACTAGACCCAGCATCTCCATAACATACTGAGCGTAGTTTGTTCAGGACTGAGTAGTGCTCCAGTTTATCACTGCTGCAGCCTTGTACCCATCACTCTTCTTAGCAGTTAAAGACATTTTAGAACATACAAGACAGGAAATTCTAAATTGCCTTGCACATGAGCAGATTTAAATTTTTTAATTAGTACTAAACAACTAATTTATAAAATAACCTTACAAATTTTTATTAAGTGTATTGACAATTCTAGTACAATGAACTTTTTAGTTCCGTAATAAGAAATAAGTATCTAAGACTTATTGCATATGTTTATTGTTTTAACTACCAAAATATAGTTACAGTAGAAAACTGGAAAATACTGAAAAGCATGAAGAAGAAATTTAAAGTCCTTTCCACCAATCCCAACACTTGGGGAAAATATCCACAATTGATAAATTTGGTACATTTCACTGCCCATCTCCCTGTGAAGATCAGTAATTAACTACTTTTTGAGGATTAACAAAAACAATCTCAGGCATACATTTCCAAATTCTTATTCAAAGGTAATTTATCACTATTTTCATATATCAAATCTAATAGCAGTATACACATAATTGTTTTCTGCATTCTGAACTTTATATGCTAGAAGATGTAACTGGTATGGAGTACGGCCATTACTGCATCTTGCATTAAATATTTGGAGAATAACTTAAAAAAAAAAAGAATATGTAACTGGTCATTTCTGCCTAAGGACTTAGTTTCCTTTTTCTTTTTTCTTTTGAGGCAAAGTCTCATTTTGTCCTCAATAGAGTACTACGGCATCACAACTCACAGCAACCTCAAACTCTTGGGCTCAAGCAGTTCTCTTGCCTTGGCCTCCCAATTAGTTGGGACTACAGGCGCCCGACATGACACCCAGCTATTTTCAGAGACAAGGTTTCGCTCCAGCTCAGGCTAGTGTCGAGTTCGTGAGCTCGGCAGTCCACCCACCTTGGCCTCTCAGAGTGCTAGGATTACAAGTGTGAGGCATCAAGAACTTAGTTTCATAACTAATTTATATCCAGTTAGTAATACAAAGCTAGGTTTATAAACCTCTTAACTTAGTGTGTAACCATGAAAAGTTAAGCATGTAAGTTACTGAGATGGTCTCTGCTTAAGTGAGCATTCCTTATTTGTTTTGTATATGCAAACTCCTCTACATAGAACAAGAAACGCCATTGAGGTGTCCAGAATTACAGTGAAAGTGTTGATCTGATAGACTGGTAGGAGGGAGAGTTGGGTATACTTTGGTTTTAATGGATGACTTCTGTTCATATTTAGTAAAGTTTATAAGTTGAAAGTTCTTCAGTTTTAATCTAAATTAAAGAATTTGTGAATTGAAAAGTCCCAATCTTGTTTTTCAAATCATATCTTTTTATTGTAGCTTACTTATCGCTGATTTGAAAATTAACTCCACATTTCATCCTTTGCCTCTTATCTAGTGATTTCCTAGTACCGGACTACTTAAACCAGGAGCAAGAAGAGACCCTTGTTCAGTATGATCTTGGAGAACACGGTTTTGAAAGCAACTCCTCTGTTCAAATGCCTGTAATTTCACAGGTCTCCTCGACCCAGAATTGTGAAAGCACTTTTCCCTTGGGGTCTCTTGGTGGGCTGACAGAGAAGGAGGAGGAAGTGCCAGAGCAGCCAAAGACCAGTGCTTGTGCTGAGGCAACCAGAGATGACCCCCCAAAATCAGAGCTGTCTTCTGTAACTATCGAGTAATTTTGTGGTTTGGCTTCATTTTTCGTTTTTGGAAAGTGCCTGTGCTTGGTCTTGTACGTTTAATTTAAATTTTTAAACAAAATAAGGGTTTAGGAAAAAATTTCCCTTTTGCTTTCTAAGCCCTGAAACTGAAGTTTTATTTTTCATAACTGAGAGATTACTTCTTGTAAGTACACAATAACATAATGGTGAAATATAATAGAAACTATGAAACTTAAAGAGAACCAGTTGACTTAAAACATATACCAGGTTTTTTTTCCATTGTTAAAAGTGGGCTAACAATGGATCATTAAGTAGAGAAGAAACCAGATGATTATTGCCCTTCCTGAGATGAATGGGTACACAAGAAACAGATTAAACAGAATTTGGCAAATGGCCTGAGTAGATATTTACTCCTCTACACAGGATGTTACGCAGTATTTTGCTGAGCCTGTTGTTTTTGGAAGTATTTATGGTAAGCTTTCTTAAAAATTACTAGAACAGATACTTCTGAAATATAGCTATTCTTTCTTTAAAAGTTTTATCATATCTGTTAACATTTTTCATGGTGAAAGTTTGGTATGGCATTCTCCATACCTTCCCAGTCCCACTCCAAAGGCCAAGAAGCGTGATTGAGAAAGGTCAGGCTGGATGAAACGACCAGGAGCGGAGGATGGAGGATGTAAACCCCGCCTCACAGAAACTCTTACACTGCTTTTCTGGCTAAAATCAGTGTTCACCTGGTCTTTGAGTGTTCATGCCTGACTATGTCATTGTCCAAATCAGTTCCCCTGCCCCATCACAAATATGTTTTCTTGCAAATGCTGGTGTGCTACCATATAAAGGAAAAATACTGGAGATAGTCTATATTTTATATATAGGTTTATGTATTGTTGGGGGTGTTTTTATTGTGCTGTTTTGGATAAAATAAAGACTTCTCTGTTGAGGCCACATTCTTAACCCAAGTAAGATTGTTTACAAAATCCCATGACAGTGATATGTTGTACTTATTCCAAAATATTTTTAGACATTGCTAAGTTTATTAAAAGCAGCTACTCTAGTTTTTACACAATGTAAGCAATAATGTAAAAGATTAGAAGAGGCTCTGAAATGATCATCTACAATTCATAAATCTGTTTTGGGAAATAAAATTGCTAAGACTAATGAAAAACAAAAAACTTTAAATTATCACCTTTTCTGCTGCTAAAAATATAAAACTTTGTGGTTTATACCTTCAGACTTGGGTATGCTTTTCATCTGGTGCCATTAAAGCATCTCTGACCTTGATCTTAAATATTCATGAGTCCATGGATAATGAACTTGTGAGAAACTTTTTTTTAAATGGAGATATGCAAAGTGTGATAATTATGAAAACTCGATTGGATTAGAGAAGAGAAACAATATGGTTCTTTAGTAAAACAAAGTCTGAATTTTGTCTGGGTGCTAGATCTTAATATATTTTTTAAATTAAAGTGATTGTTTCCTTTTTAAAAAATTGGCTAATTTTGTAATTTCTTTTTTCCCCCATAAATGTAAGGAAAGGTAAAGTAAACTCATTAGGACATTTCTAGGTTAAGGTTCTTTCTGCTTCTGTCCATATTCTGCTGTCCTTAACTTATTTCCAGCTCTTTATTTCATTTGTGAACCTGTCTTTTACTCATTTGCTCCCAAACACAGGTTTGTTACCTTCTGGAAATAGCAAGTACAGGTTATAATGGGCTTCCACTGTCTACTGATGGAGTAGAATTATTTTCTGCAACAGACACGTGCTACTTTATTACAGTACTGGTGTGTCTCAACTGGAAAGGTCAGGAATTCTTATGTTTAATGTTATGTATTAGTATAGACTTCAGAAACTATTATGCTGGGCAGCACCTATGGCTCAGTGACTAGGCTGCCAACCCCATATACCAAGGGAGGCAGGTTCAAACCTGGTCCCAACCAAACTACAACAAAAAAATAGCCAGGCATCGTGGCGGGCACCTGTAGTCTCAGCTGCTTGGGAGGCTGAGGCAAGAGAATCGCCTAAGCCAGGGGTCCTCAAACTTTTTAAACAGCAGGCCAGTTTACTATCCGTCAAACCATTGGAGGGCCGAACTGCGGGCCCCAGGACAAGTTGGCTGCTAAGCAGGATAGGCAGCAGAGGCAAAAACACCCGGCAGGCCAGATAAATGTCCTCGGCAGGCCGCAGTTTGAGGATCAATAAGCCCAAGAGCTGGAGGTCGCTGTGAGCTGTGATGTGACAGCACTCTACCAGGGACAACAGAGTGAGACACTTTTTTTTTTTTTTAAAGAGACAATCTATTATCCCTACCAATAGGTAAATTTCAAATTAGTTTTAAAATTCTACATTGGCAAAACAAGGAGTAGGTAAAACTATGACCAGGAATCATTGTTTCCCTTAGTTTTAAGAGTGTTTTTTTTTTCTTTTTAAAGAGCAGGATATAAGGGAAGAAGGGAAGAAATAGAAATGAATGTGTAAGAATTGTTTACAGATGTACTGGCTGGAAGTGTTTTTAGCACATGCCCTGTCCCTGCGCAGTTGGCAGCTCAGAGGTATTCTGTGTTCTCAGAATGAGCACCCGTCACTGGGTTTTCTTTTCCAAATGGATTGCTGATTACAAATTGCATAGACTTCTAAGTTCTATGGAAAATTTGAATCTACTGTGAAAATACATAGTGTCTACTGCCCAGATGTTATTAATACAGGTAACTGCCCAGTGTTCAACACAGAGCCATAGACACCAAGGCCTTTTTCCTGCTTCAGTGAGGCTGTACATCTAAGAGAAGGAAGCCTAGATGTATTTTACCAGAACATACAGCAGAATTGCAAAAAGATGAAAGATGGTTATATTGCCCCATCCACTAGAAGGTAACAGTATACTTAAACATAAAATATTCAGTTTAGATTATTAAGCACAGCTATCTTTCCTAATGCCCAAGAGGATAACTTTCTCATATTTAAAGGGCTTAAATTTTAGGATGCAGGATAAATGGCCTTTTTTTAAATCAAGCATTTTATACAAGAAAAGCTTTTGTTTTCAATTTATTACCAAATAAGTGTGATATGCTTTAGAAGTAATCAGAGGTATTCCCTTGTGACACTGGGTTTTGTAGCTCCTACAGGCATTCTTTTCATTTTTAAAGAGTGTATTTTTAACAGTGGAAACATCTAGCATGTCAATGACTCTAGTAATTCAGACACAAAGGGATTAATATCATTCTTCATGTTTTTACATTTTAAGTTTTCTTTAAGTAGATGTAAATGGAGGTTTTTTATCCAAAAATATATTTAAATGGATTTTTCTTAATTTGAATTTCTAGTTAACACAGTTGCATTGCCTTTTTTTTTTTTAAGTTCTCAATCTCAGACAAAACATACTAAAATGTTTAAATAGCCTTAGTCTTTCTTATTTCAACATTTCAGCGGCCATCTGGCATATAGTAAGTAGGTACCATGTAATGACACATGCCCTATGGCATTCTAAACAAACAAAAAGTACTTGGATTTTGTTAAAGTATTTTACCAAATGGAAGGCCCTGCTTAGCACATCTAATGTACTTAATTACTGGTAGTAACACCGTGTCTAACACTGAAGCAGACTCTCCCAGTCTACAGATGGTTCCCTGGGAGCCTTTGGAATCTGTATCAAATCAGTCTTTGTATCTCTTTCTTACTCTAAATAGAGGCTAGTCATGTAGTTTAGCGCCCTCTGTTTTGAAGTTTTTCAGGTCATGTTTCAGTCCTGTAGTCCCTAATGATGTAATGGCAGTTCTGCATTAGAGCGTCACAGAGAGAGAATTACTGTGACTACCTGATGAGGGAACAGTCCTGAAGTTTTATTTCAGCTGAAAGGAGCTCGAGAATTACAAACATTCATTTGGTACTTAATGTTTCACTCAGTCTGCAAAATATGAAGTTATAACTGAAATAGACACCCAAGTGAATGAGAATAATCTCTAGATATTAACAGTAGCTGGGGGAAAAAACTAATAAAGGCACATTTGGAAGAAACCGACCCAAAGCTGGCAAAGATAGTAAATGTGGTTTTCACTCTGAGTTATTGACGTAAGATGCTTTATTTATAATATGTTTAGAAAGTTATTGAGAGAAGAATGCTTAAGAACTAGATTTGGTTTTTGGAAACAGGAACAAAATTGGGGGAATGATGAGGTTCTGTTGTGCTAAACATGTCTTATAAGGAATATTTATAACGAAACATACTCCCACAGGCTTTAAGCTGAAATTATGAAAGTTTAAATTAACTTGTTCCTTAATTTTGCCTATACCCATTGCATTGTTTTCTCCCCCCCTCCTCCTTTTTTTCTAAAGAAACATCTGCCTCACTGTGTTGCCCAGGCTGGCCTCAAGCTTCTGGGCTCAAGTATTCCTCCCACTTCAGCCTCTCAAGCACCTGGGACTGTAGGTTTGTGACACTGCAGCCAGCCTCCTTACTCATTTTTATCTTAGTGTGTCATTTTTGCATGATAGAATGTGGATGACATAGGGTATTTCTGTTTGGAAAGTCATTAGAAGACAAAGTAGTCAAAAGCAATTAATAGTTCAGATTAAACACCGAAGTGACACTAAACCATTCCCCAGATTCAACTAAGGAACACTCACTCTGGATATTCCGCCTTAGACTATAGATATGTTGAGAGAGATCTTAACTGGTGGAACTATTCGTGGTGATAATTTTTTTTTTTTTTTTTGCTTTCTACTAAATGGAGATGGATATTTTCACTATATCATAATGATTATATTTTTATGGTAGATTAAAAAAACACTTCAGTGTTTTTAAAGATAGTCAACTGCAGAGATTTCAGATGATATTATTGGAATCTTGGCTTGGCAGTTTCTGAGAACTGAGCCTACCATGAAAGTATTTAAGTAACTTCCAGCTAAGCCCCTTCTGCTAGGACCCAGCCCAGTTCCAGCTAATATCAAAATTCCTATGTACACAATAATTTACAGAGATCTTAAAAGTTCAAACTATGGGTTGAAGAAAACTTTTAAAATTTTTTTTATAAATTTTAAAGTGCCTGGTTTAGAAACTTAAATTCTTTGATTATTTCCTTGTAAAATGACTAATTTTGCCAATTAAGCTTGAAGTCTTGGGCTCGGTTGGGATTTTTTTTTTTTTTTTTGAGACAGAGTCTCACTTTGTCACCTTCAGTTGAGAGCTGTGGCGTCACAGCTCACAGCAACCTCAAACTCTTGGGCTTAGTCAATTCTCTTGCCTCAGCCTCCCAAGTAGCTGGGACTACAGGTGCCTGCCACAACACACAGCTATTTTCAGAGACAAGGTCTTGCTCTGGCTCAGGCTGGTGTCCAACTCCTGAGCTCACGTGATCTATCTGCCTCGGCTTCCCAGAGTGCTTGGGTTATAGGCATGAGCCATGGTGCCCAGCCCTTTTGATAGATTATTGATAAAATTGTTGCTTAATGGTTCAACGAGCTGGTGTTACGACTTGTACTCAGTTGCCCTTTGTTTTCCAATATGCCAGTCTAACCTATATCCAGATTTTTATAATTCAGTTAAACAAGTTAAAAGTCATCCTGTAGATCAGTGGTTCTCAACCTTCCTAATGCCTCGGCCCTTTAATCCAGTTCCTGTGGGTCAAGACCCACAGGTTGAGAACCACTGCTGTAGAGGAATGTTTAGGTTACCAAAGTACATGGCCTGCTGAGGAGGGGTAACTCCTGCTCTCAGAGCAGCCTGTCATCTCCTCGTCATACTTGCTGTTTCCCTTGGGATTGGTGGAAGCTGTGTCCATGTCAAGATAGGAAGCCTTTCATGCAGTTCTTAAAAACACCTGCTTTCTAAGGAAAGCCTTTTCTATAATTAGATTGTGTGTGTGTTCTCTAGATTTCCTTTTATTTTGGTTACCAGTTAGGTTTTCACACTGACAGATGCTGTGTAAAGTCTCTCATACTGAGAGTGGTCCATAAAGTCTGAAAGTTGCACTGCCTCTCGTCTTTTCAGGTACCTGCAGTGAATGACACCAGGTATTTGGAAAGAGTAAGATGGTAAACTCTATTCATTTTCTTCCTTGTACAGAGTGATGGCTTCTAATACATACTTATATTTCAAGGTATTTTTTAAAAGAGCAACAGTCCCTAATAGAGTAAACTTTGGTTTTGATCCAAGTTCTCGATAGTATATTTAGTCCTTCTGTTGTTGCTGGTGCCTCCTGTTGCATCGGATAGACATTGCCTGCCTCTTCATAGGGCACCCTCGCGGCACCTTACGTGTGATTTGGAAGATAGTAGATGGCTTCTTCACGCTTGTACTATCTTTTCAAAAGCCATTTTATAAAAATCCTAGGTAGCCTATTTTAATATTTAAATATATATATTTGTGAAAGATACTTTTAGAACAGACTTTTTTTTTACTTTAAAAAATTCCTGTATTTCCATTTTTAAGAGTAAATTTAAACTTTTCCAGGATTAGGAAGTATCTTTTTCCAGAGCAGCATGAGAAAGTCAGATCGAAGTCATAAACCAGAATTCAGTGATAGAAGAAATTGATGTCTAGTTAAAGGAGACATATTTGAAAGGAAAAAGTTTTGATGTAACAGAAATGAATTTTTAAACCTGCATTTTTGTTTCTGTAATTTCACATTTGCTGCTACGATAGCTCGGTATTTTGCAGGGCTAACATAGATCTGGCTCCACTGAAACACTGGAGCACTTTCTAGTGCAGCAGCCCGGGAGGAAGTGCCCCGCGGTCTTGGGGGGGGGGCGGGGAGGGGGGGACTCCTTACTTTGTTTGGCTGATAAACGCTTTAATATCTGCCTACAGCCCAGCAGCAAGGAATTTTTTACCCTGCTGGTTATGGTATGATAATTCTTGGGCACTGGCATTTTGTGAATCCCTCGAGGGAGGGTCATGCTGGAGAGAAATA